GTGCCATTTGTTTGTGAAAAATGCAAACAATTTCACTTGCACTGACATATCATCATTGTAATACATTTTACAGTTTTGAAACACTAATATTTTTGTTCAGCGAAGTCTTCCGAGCAAAACAGTACCCTCCATGTACAGGTTTTATGGTGTCTTTGAAAGTTACAGGGTTAAATATAGTGCTAGCAAATTAAATTCCCTGGACTTTCGGCATGGGTTATCAGGCAGGTCCCGCAAATTGTAAAAAATTAAAAAAGGGGGAGGGCAGGATACAACAGCTTAGAGCTCCTTACAGCAAAAGCCAGCTTCTGAGGATGAGAAGAGGTCAATATTGTAGTGCTTTAAAAATGTGTGAAAAAGTAGACAAGGTGGCAGCTCCGCTAAGGTCATCTGGAGATGCGTTGGCACGCTCGTCCCATGAAGTGGCCATAGCTCTAGTGGAGTGAGCTTTAAATCGATATAGGAGATTAAAGACCACTATGAATATATGATAACCTGATGGTTTCTGTAAGCCACTTAGAGATGGTGGTTCTAGAGACCACTTTGCCCTTAGATTTTCCTTGTAATTCAATAAATAGGTGATTTGAAATCCTGAAGGGAGCAGACCAGAGAAGATAAATTTGTAAGGACCGTTTAACAACCAATGTGTGCAGCTTGTGTTCTAGAGGAGAAACTAAACTACAGAATTAAGGAAGAACAGTAGCCTGGTTGAAGCCCTTCAAAGAGATGAACTTTGGCAAGTAAGAAGCCTTGGGATATAACTCGACCTTATCCTGATGAAAAATGGTAAAGTCTTCAGAGAAAGAGAGCGTCAGGATAACAAGTTGATCCAGCACGCAGTAATGTGTCACACCTAGGACTAAGGATAACGTATAACCGGACCATAGAATGGCCAGACTTAACGTCTCCAAGAATAGTCAAAATACTTGCCGAGGTCAGGGACACAGAATCAGACACAAAGAGGAGGGAAAGCCAAAAGTCAAGGATACCAGATATCAGGGAAGTCAAAACAAAGCCAAAGTCAAATACCAAAAAATCAAGATCAGGCACACACTCTCTGATAACCATAGACATGAAACCACGACAGGGCAAAGAGCAAGAGGAGAATTGGGTTTAAATACAACTCCTGTGGATCCGATTGGCTGTAACTGGCTTTTGACCCCAAAGGCAATTACCAGGTTTCCATGTGCATGATTGCTGCTCAGCACAAACCCTCCTGTGGATTTGATTGGCCATGAGCGGCCTTTGACCCCAAAAGTAATTACCAGGTTTCCATGTGCATGATTGCTGCTCGGCACAACTTTTCCTGTTAGGACGGTAATGTTTCTCAGCACAACTTTTCCTGTCAGGGCAGTAAATGCCATTAACCACATTTTTATGTGTGGATGAACACGTGACAGAGAGGGCTTGAATTTCTCCAATTCTTTTTGCTGAAGTGATAGCCATGAAGAAAACGGCCTTGAGAAAAATAAACATCTTCCAGAGCCTCAAATAGAGATTCACATAAAGCCTGCAGAACTAAAGACAAATCCCAAGAAGGGATACAAGACTTACAAGGAGGTCTGAGCAGCAGGATTGCTTTGAAGAAACGTGTAATTAATAACTCAGAAGCAAATTCTTTAACAAGGAAATAGCTGAGACACTGAGACCAGATAAAATTAATTTTGAAGAAAATGGATAGTTGTCAACCCGAAGGGGAACTTTGAAGGCAGTTGTGGTCATGACACCAATGAAGGAATGGATTCCAAATGCTCAAATATATCCTTGAAGTTGATTTCCTAGTAGAGCCTATCAAAAGATCAATCCTGCTGCTATCTTGAATGCCATGACTCTGAAGTATTAGCCTTGCAGCAGCCATGCTGTCAATCTGAACATGCGCAAGGTGTCTAGTGGCAGTTGCCTGTTTTCTAAAAATGGAAGGTCGATTGGCAATTCCCAAAATGTTACCGCCATCATCTGAAACTCAGAGAACCAACTTCTGTTGGGCCAGTAAGGGATAATTGCCAGCACTGAAGCATCTTCTGACCTGGTTTTCTGGATGATCCTTGGAATCAAGGCTACTGGAGGAAAAACATGGCCAGATTGAAATTCCAGTTAATGGCCATCCAGTCTAGAAAAAAGGGTGTGATCTTGACTGAAGTGAGGTGAACGTCCTGACCTTGCGATTCATTCTTCTGGCAATCAGATCCACGTCCGGAGTTCCGAATCTTCTGGTGAGAGCTCAGAATAGGTGTGGATGAAGGGGCCATTCTGCTTGTGATCATTTTGACCTGCTCAACTCGTCTGCTACTAAGTTTTCTTTCCCTTTGTGTGTGCCCAAAGAAACATTTCTGAACAAAAAAATATGTAGGCTTTTTAATTTTTCTCCAACTTGTCTTTTCAAATAAGCAACTGTTATGCTGTTGTCTGATTGAATCCTTACTGCTTTGTCTGATATGCAAGTTTTGAAATGAAGAAGAGCATTGAAGATGGCTTTTAATTCTCCGAAGTTTGATAATTGGCGAGTGTCTCTTGTGCACCAGTTCCCTTGACACATATGGGATTGGAAGTGAGCACCCCAACCATGTTGGGATGTGTCTGTAGTCACGATTAGCTATTCTTTTTGTTTCAAAGGAAGCTGGATCTTTTGCACCAAAATAATTAAAGTCCTGCAAGTTGTGAGGAAGGTTATCTGTAGATTGGATATGTTGTTTAAAGCATATCCCATGGATGCAGTCGGATTAAGATCTGGAAAATGTGTAGGCCAAGACAACACCTTGAACCTTTTGCCATGTTCTTCAAACCATTCCTGAACAAATTTTCCAGTACGGTAGGCTGCATTATACTTTTAAAAGAGGCCATGGACATAATTGTCATGAAGAAGTTACATGGTCTACAACCATCTCTAGGTAGGTAGTACATGTCAAAGTAACATGCACATGAATGCCAAGACTCAAGGTTTTATAGTAGAAAATCACCCAGACCATAACACCCTCTCCACAGATATGCCTTCTTCCCATAGTGCATCCTGCTGCCATACATTTGATCCAAAAGAAAACACGATTCATCAGAACAGAATCTTCTTCCATTGATCCATGGTCCAGTTCTAATTCCACTGAAGGTGCTTTCGGCGGTGGATAGTGGCCATCATGGGCACTTTGACTGGTCTGTGGCTACGCAGTCTCATACACAGAAAACTGTGATGCACTGTGTGTTCTGACACTTGTATAATGGCCAGTATTACTTTTTCACCATTTGAGCTACAGTGTCTTTTTTGTGTGATTGGACCTGACTGTGCTCCCCACGCGCATCAATGAGCTTTGTGCTCCCATGACTCCAACACCAATGTCCTTCCTTTGGTAGTACTGTGTACTAACAACTACATACCGGGAACACCCCACAAGACTTGCCGTTCTGGAGATGCTCTGACCCAATAATCTAGCTATCACTCTCTGCATTTGGCCCTTGTCAAAGTCGCTCAGATCTTTTAGCTTGCCCATTTTTCCTGCTTCCAACTGACTGTTCACTTGCTGCCCAATATATCCTGCCCCTTCACAGGTGCCATTGCAACAATATAATCAATGTTATTCACTTCAACTGCTGGTGGTTTTAACGTTGTGGCTGATTAAAGGAACACTATAGGATCAGGAGCAGAAACATGTATTCTTAACCCTGCAGTGTTAAAACCACCATCTAGCCCCCCTGGTCCCTTTGCCCTCCCTCCCAAAATAAAGTAAAATTTTACTTGTATTCAAGTTTGCAGCTGCTGCCTCTGATCTGCCTGCTTGCCTGACATCATCAGAAGTGATTCTGTGAGCCAATCATAATGCTTTCCCATAGGATTGGCTGAGACTATTAAGAAGGCAGATCAGAGGTAGAGCCAACACAAGCAAAACACAGCATCTCCTCATAGTGATACATTGAATCAATAGGGAAAGTTCAGTGTCTACATGCAGAGGGTTGAGAAGCTGAATGTCAGTCACACTGTGCAGCACTGCCCCAAGAAGCACCTCTAGAAGCCATCTGAGTGGCCAGTGGTTTCATCCCTAGGATGTAAACACTGCATTTTCTCTGAAAAGACAGTTTACTGCAAAATGCCTGAAGGTAATAATTATATTCACCAGAACAAATAAAATAAGCTGTAGTTGTTCTGGTGACCATAGTTGTCCCTTTAACCCCTTAAGGACCAAACTTCTGGAATAAAAGGTAATCATGACATGTCACACATGTCATGTTTCCTTAAGGGGTTAATGAATATTTGATAACTTGACCACGGTCTCAGCAAGTATCCCTTCTGGATGATACACCTTAAGGAGTAGCTGCTCCAGAGGTTTGTATCGTCACACAGAGTACTTTATAAACAAAAACAAAATAAGCAACACACAGGCAATTAGTGAGTAGTTCCCAAATACACAAAAAACAACAAGAGACATACACAGGCAATGAGGAGTACTTCACAAAATTAACAACCTACAACGAGAGACACACTGTCAGTGAGTGGTTTCTGCCTCACGTATAACCTACAGGTAGAGAAATCCAATCTTGCTCACAGTTACTGTATCACACACACACACACACACACACACACACACACCCCCTGCCAGTCACTGTATCTCACACACACAGCCAGTCACTGTATCTCACACACACACACACACCCTGCCAGTCACTGTATCTCACACACACACACACACCCGCAGTCACTGTATCTCACACACACACACACACCCCTGCCGGTCACTGTATCTCACACACACACACACACACACACACACTGCCAGTCACTGTATCTCACACACACACACACACACACACACCTGCCAGTCACTGTATCTCACACGCTTTACACACCCTGCCAGTCCACTGTATCTCACACACACACACCCTGCCAGTCACTGTATCTCACACACACACTGCCAGTCACTGTATCTCACACCCTGCCAGTCACTGTAGCTCACACACACACCCTGCCAGTCACTGTATCTCCACACACACACACACCCTGCCAGTCACTGTATCTCACACACACACACACACACACACCCTGCCAGTCACTGTATCTCACACACACACACACACACACACCCTGCCAGTCACTGTATCTCTCACACACACACACACACACACCCTGCCAGTCACTGTATCTCACACACACACACACACCCTGCCAGTCACTGTATCTCACACACACACACCCTGCCAGTCACTGTATCTCACACACACACACCCTGCCAGTCACTGTATCTCACACACACACACCCTGCCAGTCACTGTATCTCACACACACACACCCTGCCAGTCACTGTATCTCACACACACACACATACACCCTGCCAGTCACTGTATCTCACACACACACACACCCTGCCAGTCACTGTATCTCAC